ATCATTTCTCGTCCAACCTTGGATGCAGCTCGGAAGCCCTCACCTACAGAAGACCTCCGACGTCTTCAAAGGAGCCAATGGATCCCCACTACCAATTCACGGAAGCTTCGAAGCCGCTTTCGTGGTCATGGACAATCGAGGAAAGGCTCATCCCGGACATGGCACCTGCTATGTCTCCGACGACAACGACCTTCTCGGCATCACATGGATCGAGCAGATTCCAGACTTCGACCACGTTTTGAGGAGATTCAACGTGCAGAAGGTTCAAACACTGAACAACGAGGCCCTCCGAGACCAAACGATCGCCAAGCTGAAGCACCAATTCATGGATGTCTTCGAGCCCGGACTTGGATACTGCACCAAGACCAAGGCGACACTCTACCTCAAGCCCGATGCTCGCCCAGTCTTCATCAAGAAGAGACCGGTTCCCTACGCCTCCATACCGCTCGTCGACGCCGAGATCGACGTCTAATGGCACAGGACGTCATCTCCGCCGTCGATCACTCTCGATGGGCTGCGCCAATCGTCGTTGTGAGAAAGGCCAATGGTACCATTCGACTTTGCGCCGATTTCTCGACGGGACTCAACGACGCATTGCTGTTGCATAGGCATCCACTACCCACCGCGGAGGATGTTTTCACAAAGCTCAATGGCGGAACCGTCTTTTCACAAATCGACTTCGCCGACGCTTATCTACAGGTCGAAGTCGATGACGACTCCAGAGAGCTCCTCACCATCAACACGCACAGAGGACTCTACAGATACAATCGCCTACCGTTCGGAGTCAAGTCAGCTCCTGGCATCTTCCAGCAGATCATCGACTCCATGATCGCTGGACTCAACGGCGTTGCTGCCTACCTCGACGACGTCATCGTCACCGGCCGCACTCTCTCCGAGCACAACGCCAACCTGGAAGCCCTATTTTCAAGGATATCCGACTACGGCTTCCGCGTCCGCATCGACAAGTGCCACTTCGTGATGACACAGCTCACCTATCTCGGAAACGTCATCACTGCTGCCGGACGCCGACCCGATCCAAAGAAGATCGACGCTATCTCCAAGATGCCAACCCCGAAGGATACCGCCCAGGTCCGGTCATTCCTCGGACTCATCAATCACTACGGAGCATTCGTTCCGGAGATGCGCCAGCTCCGCGCACCGCTCGACGCACTACTCAAGAAGGAAGCTCCGTTCAACTGGAACTCCGAATGCGAAGCCGCTTTCGAACGCGCCAAGGAAGTGCTCGCTTCGGACCTGCTCCTAGCTCACTACGACCCCAAGTTGCCCATCATCGTCGCGGCCGACGCTTCAGACTATGGGATTGGAGCAGTTATTTCTCATCGCTATCAAGACGGAACTGAGAAAGCTGTCTACCATGCCAGCCGCTCTCTCACCACGGCGGAGAAGAACTATGGCCAAGTGGAAAAAGAAGGTCTGGCGCTCGTATACGCCGTCCGGAAATTCCATCGCTATATCTACGGGCGCCGCTTCACCTTGCTAACGGACCACAAGCCACTTCTGGCAATATTCGGATCAAAGAAGGGAGTTCCGGCCTACTCCGCGAACCGACTGCAACGATGGAGACTTACAATGCTCGCCTACGACTTCGACATCGAGTACCGAAACACTGCTAGCTTCGGACAAGCCGACGCACTGTCTCGTCTCATCGCCATGCAATCGCCACCAGAAGAAGACGTTATCATTGCCAGTATCACCAAAGACGTGAACGCCATCTTCGCCGAGAACGTGAGCCGCTTACCAGTCACTGCCAAGGAGGTTGCCCACGCAACAGCTGCAGACGACTGTCTCCGTCAAGTCATGGACCATATCGCCCACAACAGCTGGCCGAAGAGACCATCGCCAACAGTTGCGAGATACGCCCACCTACGCAACGAACTCTCGGCACAACAAGGATGCCTGCTCTTTGGAAGCCGCATCGTCATACCGCCATCACTCCAGCCGTCTGTCCTGAAAATGCTACACGAGGGACATCCAGGAGTTAACCGAATGAAAGCCCTCGCTCGTCAATATGTCTTCTGGACGAGAATCAACGAGGATGTGGAGAAACTTGTCCGCGCCTGCAACGATTGCCAAGAAGCAGCCAAGTCGCCAGTCAAGAATACGCTCTGTTCTTGGCCTCGTTCGGATGCGCCATGGAGCCGGATCCACATCGACTTTGCCGGCCCAATCGACGGAATGTCGTACCTGGTGATCGTCGACGCATTCTCCAAATGGCCCGAAGTCATCTCAATGACTTCTACCACCAGCACCGCCACACTGAAGGAACTCCGTCGCTTGTTCGCTCAATTCGGATTCCCTCGCATCATCGTCTCAGATAATGGAACTCAGTTCACCGCAGCCGAGTTCCAGGATTTTTGCAAGAAGAAAGGAATCGAGCATATCCGGTCGCCGCCCTTCCACCCCCAGTCCAATGGTCAAGCTGAGCGCTTCGTGGACACATTTAAGCGCACGCTCAGGAAGCTGAAGAAGCACGGACTGACCGACGAAGCTCTCCAGACATTCCTCTTCACATACCGGAATACGCCTTGCACCGCTTCTCCCAACGGAAGGTGTCCCGCAGAAAACTTCCTCGGAAGACGCCTTCGCAACAAGCTGGATCTGCTGAAGCCGGACAACAAGGAAGAACCTGTTGCGGACACGAAAATGGAAAAGCAGTTCAACCGTCAATATGGAGCCAAACACAGGACGTTTCAACCTGGAGATAAGGTCTACGCTCGTGACTACAGATCCGGACAATCCAGATGGACTCAAGGACGGATCCTATGCCGACGTGGACGCACTGTGTACGACGTTCAAGTCAATGGATTCATATGGAGACGCCACGCCAACCAGCTAATTCCACGTGCATCGACGGAAGCTACACAAGAGCTGATGTGCGCCTTCGACTTACCATTTGACGCATTCGACATACCATTCAACGCCACATCGCCTTCATCAACGACGACGACTTGTACAACGCCTCAGTCTTCAATGGTCACTGCCACTCCAACAACAACAACAACAACGACAATGACTACAATGCCTGCTGCCGTTCCCAGACGACAATCGAGCCGCACTCGTCGCCCTACGGAATTTCTTCAGATTGACCCGTACGCTAAATCGTACGGCCGTCAATCTTAGGGGGGAGGTGTTGGGGACATTGTGATCTCTTGCATGTAGGTATTTGATCTTGTGTTGTACTAAGTCTGCCTGGTTTGACTTGATCTTTTGACCAGGCAGAGGAGTATATAAACGGGTTATTTTCTATGTTGATATACTACTGTCTTCCAATAAATATTCTACTGCTGCTGATTTCTCAAGGACAACACAAATACTCCAAACATGCAACGTGGAGTGGCATGTTCGCACTGGAATGCTTACAAACACGGGAAAACACCCTGTCACTAAAAGGCAGTTGGCACGATAAATCCCCAAAGACGACTAGGATCAATACTCCTGGCAGGATAGAATTCCGCGACCCTGGGCAGGCGCTGCATAGCGGTTTCCCGAGGAAGGTGCCCTTATAAGGGCCCTATCAAGCCACAACTTTACGTCCCAAACGCCCGCCACGCCCGCCCGCCCACAAATGGACGACCGTTCCTGACGCTCGTATTCATTCATTTGCTAAGCAAATTATGAAGCGAAGGGATTGGTATGAAGCGGCCGTGATGCTGCATGCATACATGGGTACACATATGCAGCCGTATCTTCGTAGCGGTGATTGGTAAGATGCCTACGGGAAACTCGTCCGAAATCGATTTACAAGTCACTGAGAACGGAGGCTTTTTCTTCGCAGGATGACCGTTTCACTCCGTTCTTTCGCCATTTCCCCACTATACAGCGCCCTACTAGCATTTTAGGCTAAGTAGGAAACCATCGTGCCAACTGCCTTAAACCCTTTGCTGAACAGCTATCAAGCGTGTACTTTTAACCATAAGGGGAAGGGTCGTTGCTTGAACTCACGTCGAACTCATGTCAGGCAGCTGTTACTACAATGCTGGTTAGGTGAGGGAAGTGATACCTTGTAGCTTTGCCGATTAAAGTCCGCGGGCTTTTCTCTTTCAGCAAGCGACGGGACTGCATAATGCCGTTAGTATCAGTCGCTTCACCGATTACTGTCGCTTACCTGCTTCAGCAACTTTAATCGAGACGGGCTGGTGACTCGCCAAACCCAACCTCGGTGATGCGCCTCATCACTCGAAGTGAACAAGACTGTGCCTTCTTCAAATCGAAGGCAGTCTTTATCTGCTTCTGCCCGAGTCGCGCATCGAAGGAAGTTGGAACGAATTTCTTCGCATTTTCAGCAAAAAAACCAGTGTAATGATGAAAAAGTTGCCGCCAAAGGTCACCTCACAGTGGTCAGACCAACTGCACTTCCTGTACGACCCGGTTCGTAAGCGTGTGTTCTAAGCCACTGCTTCTATGGGAGCAGGGCACAGCATCGTTGTGTGAAACACATGGGGGGTCGTACTTTTGCTCTGGGGAGGGGGTCGTATTTGGGGTAAGACAAATTTATTTTGATAGTTGATTTTTTCTTGTGGAAAAAGGGGGGTCGTATTAATTCGTATTTATTTGTTATATGCACCCTGTACACCCGCCGGATATACGTTGCATAGTTATTGTATACCCCCGCTCGACGACTTTTTCGCCGACTATATACTCATCGCTCGTCAGTCGGCGAAAGAGCCGGTCGAGCTGAGGGGGGGGGTCGTACCAACGGGGAAAAAAAGGGGGGGGGGGTCGTGGCGCGGACCCCATTCGGAGGGGGGGGTCGTACTCACACCGACATTTCGCCTATCCCTATGCTGTACCCGCTGATCGGGAAGTAGTGGAGTGGTCATTTTGTTGTTGGATAGTTTCGTTCATGTTTTATCATGATATAGGGCTGATACGATTATTTTCTGGTATTCTGAATATCTTCACATTCTCTGCGTATCCGTGTTCCATGATTGAAAGCATTTCAAGACAGATGAATTCAATATTTAGGGGAGCCTGCAAGGATGACCATCTCATACGACGAGGAATTCTCGTCGTTGATGCTCCGATGGCGGGGTTCTCTTTGGAAGGCCGTACTGAAAGATCTCATTGCTTTCTACATTGGATATTATGTGATTCTAGCAGTACAAGTAAGAATCATGAACAGCTCATATAATCTATAGAATTTCCTCCTTTTATTTTCAGTGGTACATGCTTGACGAGAAGCAAAAGGAGTATTTCACTGGATGGATTCATTGGTGTGAGATAGGATCTCAATATATTCCTCTGTCCTTCCTTCTCGGTTTCTTCGTCTCAGTGATCGTCGCTAGATGGTAGCACTATCTAGGAATCCTAGTTTCCACAATAGGTCAATGGAACATCCTGTTTAGGTGGGAACAGTTCAATTGGATCTCATGGCCAGACAAAATGATGATGATGGTGTCGGCTTGTCTACCCGGCAAGGAGAATCTCGAAATCCGTCAAGCTATCGCCAGATGGTCATCGCTTCAGGTAAGATACAGTATCGGTTCATCCAAGACAAAAATCTCTAGGAGCACAATTCAGGCTGCTGTAGCCTGGTCAGGCATATCCGTTCGAACACTTAAACGATTTCCAACAGAACGTCACCTGGTGGAAGCGAAACTGATGACAGAAGAAGAATACGACATTTACATGAACTGTGATGCTCCGCATGGCAAGTGGTAGGCTTTCTAACATTCCGTTGTTTGTTGAGAGTTGTGGGACCCCTTGCAAAAGACCTTCGCCTGAAGTTAGCTTTGGGAAATAGTTACCGGTCTGATGGGCCTACAAATTTTGCGGCACTCATAAACGATGGGCAACAAAATCAGATAGGGAGATGATATAGCAGTCAGGGAGCGTAATCACAATGGGAAGGCTTTTTGGACGAAAGGCCCATTAACCCCATCAGGTAACACTCAAAGATGAACGATGGCGGTGACACCTTTTGCTATTGATCAAAACCCACAAATGTAAATAATTGTAACAACTTGTACGGGTTCCAGATAACATGGGATAACGCCCAGTAAAGGGAAAGCTTGGGGAACACAAAAGACTCCAAGAAAGCGACTCCCTTAGGAAGATCGCCAAAAAAATCCATGTTTCCCAGGTGTTGCCAGAGAGGGTTCTCTACAGGGCAAGTAACTCTGATATAGAAAACCATTTCAGGTTTGTGCCCATCATTTGGATCGTGAACCTGATTAAGAAACAGTATGCGGCGAAGAAAATCGACACCATTCAGATGGACATGCTCTTGAAACAGGTGCACACAAAATTTGAAGGCTTATTTCGTGATTTTTCATAAGGTTTGAAGCCCCATGTGGGGAAGTAAGGCAAACTGAGCTGGACAACCTTGTACAAGTTTGGTGTCAGAAAGTTGTAAGGTAAGGACGTAAAGGCACTTCCCGCGATCAAGTGATTATCGAAATGCCTCCGTGTATTTGGCAAGCTTGTCCGCACTCGCAGAGAATTATGCCACTTTCGTCACTTGGAATGGCGAGATAAGAGAAGCCAGAGACGCGTGATTATTGTTACCATTGCGGCAGAGCACTGTGATTCTGCAAGGCAACGGCTTACAAGCGGAAGTCGCGTGTGTACATAGCGTTGCCTGGAGATCGTTGTAGGGCGATTTCCTATGCTCTTGCTGGAAACTGGTTGCACCTAGAATTTTGCTAATTGGGCTCGTCTCGTGATAAACCCGTCCAAGACGCCGACCCCACTGGTACGGGAGTCTGTGCTCATGGTGTTCCCAAATTTACTGATGTGTTTTTGATGGGCCACTGGTTCATGACTGAGCATCTGCTACCTGTTACACTTGATAGCGGGAGTTGTCTTCAAGGCACACAGTTGCTCAAGTGACTTCGCCTGCGTTGCTATATGTGGTATCTGCCGTTTTGCTCGTTTGCATTCCCTCTCGCTACTTCTGTCAGGTCTCTCTCTCCGACTCATTCTCTCCCTGCCTTACCTCATCGATGAAAACAAAGGAAAGATAGTAAAGCTTGTCTTGTGTGCGTCTTAAACCGATGCTAACCGTCAGCCTTCTCATTTTCCTCTTTCTCAGTTGTCTTCCGGCAATGGCTGACTGATTGTGACTGATTGTGACTGTCTGCACATCTTCCCATCTTCCCCGAACGTCGGACATCATCATCCTCTGTTTGGTTCGAGTGTTTTCACTGCGATTTTACCTTGATTATATGTGCTACCAGAAACTTCAAATTGATCGCTTAGATGTGCGACGGCGCAGTTCGGCGAACGGGGGCACTTCCCATAGACGTGTCGAGCCATCGCGAGAGCCTTTTGACAACTGACAGATTTTATCGTGGTGGCTGGAAGAGCTTACTCCAGCTCGACAAGTGTGCAGATTGAAACTTGTAAACCGGAACTAGTGAAGCAACGAAAGTGCAGAATGCCCCCACCCCGTCGTCGAACAGTGCCGATGTAGGACTATACCCAGGGACAAGACAATCGCTAAAAAATAGCGGTTGATGCTTAATTTCTCCTAGCAGAATGTTTATGAGGGAGATCCAGAGATGCAGATGGTTTCACCTATTTCGGAAAGGAGATGTGAGGTCAGAGGTGGGAAGGTCATCTGCGACGCTTGACTGTAAACTAAGATATTTCGGAAAGTAGTTGGAAGCTGGTGGAACTAATCAGGTGTGAATGAAGAGACGACCCCAACTCATGTTTATCACACTGAGCTTACGAATCGAGAAAGCTGTGAGCCACAGTGATGTGACCAAGGAAGCTTCTAGGACAACGACCTGCTGCACTACGCACAGATCGTACCGCAAATACAGACGAAGCAAAGGAGTCCTCTCCTATGGCCTTTTACTCCGGTCCATGCAATACTCCCTGCCTGAAAAAATATCATATCAAAAGTGTCTGTTTGTTCAACTTCTTCGTTTCACAGTCAAGTGAAATCCTTGGGCATCGAACACCTGATCGACAAATCGTGGAGGGCTTCTGGTTCAATGGAGAATGCCCCTTTACTGGACGACTAACTTGTGTTTTTACAAGTGAATACGCATCAATATTTCCCCAGAAT